AACATTGCTCGAGTGCAAAGAGAATAAAAGAAAAAAAAAAGAAAAAAAGAAAATAAAAAAATTGAAATGTAGTTCTGAGAAGAATACAAAAGAAGACTAACCTAATAAATATGAAATTGCGAAAGAACAGATATAATCTACAAAGAGATCCTACAATTAGATACATGAACGGGATAGAGAAAACATTTCGAAGGACTATAGATTCGCAAATTAAAATATAAATCTGTCTTAATAAAAATTATCATGTTACATATCTCCAGCATTTATTTACAACAATAATGATAAAAAAATGTAAAGAAAAATGAATAGAACAAAGCGATCCTAAGATGACTATAAAGTAAAACGGGTAAAGTACAAAGTTTAAGATACACCTATAATGGTCGACAGAATCAATATTATGACGTAAGAAAAGTAAATGGTATTTTTAAAGATCGTGTTAGGACATCGATTGTTAAAGCGGCGCTTTTGATCAAAGTAAAGTTTCTATCCATCGGTAACATTTCTTCGCAAAATCAAACGCGTCTTATTGAAATTCCATCCGTGTAACAACAGAGAAAAAAAGAAAGAAAAACTATTGAGACAAACATAATTATGTACGATTCTCAAAGAACAAGGTCTAAAATAAACGTAGAAAATTTGAAACATGACGATAAGATCGCAAGAAGAATAAGAAAGTTTTCTTTAAAAGAAAGATTGAATGGAAGGAAAAACGAGGTCATCCGCGAATATTTTTCGAAAGTTTTGCATCATGTATGGGAACGGTATTAAATATTTTTCGAATATTTCTGAGATATAGTATCATATCGAACTTTTTTCCGCTGTCCCATCGCCGCACACTTCTACGCACGCAGATTAGCCGATCTTCTTTAATTAATTTTTTTTAATTATTACGAATATCACAAAACAGTAGAGGACTTTCCTTCTTAATTTGAGTCAATCTACCTTCACACTTCGAGACCGCAAAAAGCTTTCAGGCTCCCTGTATATTATTTGAAATAACTTTTTTGGTCAATGTTAGATAAAAATTGTTAATAAATTCGAGATAAGATAATACAAGACGAGATTTTTGCTATAAAAATTCATTTAAGAATTGGACCAAGACAAGATTTATACATATGTTTTTGAAAATTTTCAATAACAATACAATTTTTTTTTTAATATTGTTTCTTGAATCTTATGCAATACTAGCGAAAAATATAAAAATAGACTTACAATCAGATAAAGAGAAAAAAGAAAATGAGGAAGGAAAGAAGGGAGGGAGGGAGAGAGGGGGAGAGGGGGGGAGAGAGAGAGAAAAGAAAGGTAAAAAGAAACATAGTGAAAAAAACATAGTGGAAAGAAAAATATAAAAATAATTACAATTTATTCGCAGAGGTAATATTATTGCATTGTGCTACGATGATGTCGGTATAACGAGAGAGGGAGGGGGGGGAGAGAGAGAGAGAGAGAGAGAGAGAGAGAGAGAGAGAGAGAGAGAGAGAGAGAGAGAGAGAGAGAGAGAGAGAGATAGAACGAAGTGTGCAGAAAAGAACATCGGTGGCGACTACTAAACAGAGCGACACGCAGTGAAAGGAAGAACGAGAGAGACGCAAACGTAGAAAGGAAGCCCTCCTTAATAAAAGACAAGGGAATATCAGCGACCTCACGCCTGGTCATGACAACAACGTCCGCATCCCATTCGCTTCAGCATCCTTTGAACGAGAAGCCATCGTTCCACCCTTGTTCCTTTCGCGTTTGCGCCCCGCGTTCCCTCACCCTTGCCGCCCGTTCCTTTCGACCCACCGGGACACGGCCCCTGAATCTAGTACGATCCGACAGTGTAGGAGAAAAGGGAGATAATATTCCGTTGTGTGTCGTCTCTGTCTTTTCTCTGCTGCGTACTTTCTCGACTAAACAGGCCATTTCATCATTGCGCGCAATGCGTTTCCGTGTAATTTTTTCTTACAATTTCAATCGTTTTCAAAAATCTGACGTCTGCAATGATTTTAAAAGCGTCGCAAGCTAGATGAAATTGCAACGTAATTTCCAATTAAATTTTTAGTTTCCTGTTGCTATTGAAATTTTATTACTGTGCATAATTAAATATGGTTAGATTCGCCAAAATCTACGTATACATATAACTTTATTGTATACATAACTATGTTTTGTTATTGTTGATGCAAAGATAAATAGAAAATGCAGATTTATATCGCGTTTTTGTAACAAGTATAAGAAAACAGTTACCTAAATAGGATAAATTTATTTAATTTCTCTTTTAATAACCGATATCTTTTAATAAATTATATTTTTGTAAACATTTATAAACGTATAAAAATAGAGAAATCTTTTTCCTGATAATAGCGCGTAAGAAAAGCAAAATAAGTATTCGCAGCAACTTTTATCGTACAAAAACCATAAACGTTTTCGCACATCTCCTAAAATCGGACGTAAATGTTCTTTCCTACTTTCTCAAGTTATAGATATGGGTATACGCTTCTTCTTGCACAACTCCCTATCTCTCGTAACATCCACGCATGATTCACAAAATATGCTCGCGCGTGCAATCTATTTTAAGAATGGTTGCTTGTGAAAAAGAAACAGTTGCACACACGCACACACGCACACACACACATACACACACATGTCGATATATATATGCGGACGTCGCATTAAGGGCATGCAAATAAAATAGATATACAGGATGTTTCATTTTAATTAATATAATCGAATGTCTAAGATTTTAGAAAAAAATGTCTTCAAACAAAAGTTACTTAATTTAAAGGGAAACAATAGGGATATTAATTAGACTTGAGTGTGTCAAAGTCATGTGAAGATTAACTTAGTTTATTTAACCACCTTAATTTATTTATAAAAATCGATTCCTCGCAATATTCGGCATGAAAACGTATAAACATAGGATAGCTAAAAATTGAATATACATATATATATATATATATATATATATATATATTTATATTCAATTTTTAGCTATCCTATGTTTATACGTTTACGAAATATTCTATATTTTAGGTTGATATAATTTTATATAAACTATGAGAAATATTTCGTAAAATATTAATTCCAATTCTTATTTAATTATTTCTGTATAAAATAATAAGAAGAATCAATTGATTTAATGAAAATATATAACATGTTTTTAAGAAAAAATATGCATTTGCAAAAATGCTTGTATGCTAAAGCTACATATTTAAAATTATACATATTAAAAAATATTTTGTTTATATAAGAAGGTGAAAGGAATATCGATGCATGCGCGTGATTTCGATTCAAACCAATTGAAATGCGAATCTCTCCGAAATAGAGAGAGAGACAGATAGAGAGAGAGAAAGAGAGAGAGAGAGAGAATTTGGAGATACTCGGAAAATAATTAGACCCACATCGAGTTTCGGTACGCGGTCTAATGAGAGGCTTCCTCGGGCGGATACGACGCAGAATCTCCGCGATCTTCTCGCGCGGAATGCTAATCACCCTCAATTATACGATTGCATTTCGAGAGAAAAGAGAGAGGACGAAAAAAAGATGCAAAACAGGAAATTTATATTACACTCGCGTAATTTTTCATTCTGAGCGCGTTGCTTCGCATGGTAAAGACAAATTTGAATACCGTTTTATTTGTTTATCATATATGTAGAAAAGTCAATTCTCTCTCTTGGAAATTTCGATAAAATTTCGATAAAATTTCTTTTTTATATGACGAGAATTTAAAAGAAAATCAACGTGTACATAGATGGTTATTACTGCGTTGAATGCTGCCTAAATCATTTTTTATTTAAGAATATTTCTAGTTTATAACTGCAATATATTTTCATTAAACTTATTTATCATAATTATCATTTCCTTCTGATTTATAAGAATTGTATTGATAAATTACATTGAAAAAGATATGTTTATGTTTGTGAATTTTATTATATTCCATTTATAAATTGTTCTATTATATCATATTTATGAAAATTCTACTTCTATATTTTATTTAAAATATTTATTGTGTCATAATTTGAAGTCTTTTGCCAAATTTAATGCTAAATGATAAATATTACTAAAAACTTGTAAAAAAAGAAGATAAAATTTTATTCGCACATTGAAATCTTTAGTGCGCCGTAAAATTATATTTGCGTTGGATAAAAGCAGCTATAAAACGTTCTAGGTTAATTCAGATTATAAGTCTCTATTGCGCGTACGTGCATTATTGAATTGCATAGCTGAAATCTTTCATGTCGACGCTGCAGTCAAATTATGCATTTATCGTTCATTACATGATCATCTTGCCCTTAGCATGATAATATCGATAGAGTTTCACAAAAGGCAGAAAATGTAATAAACGGATGAAAAGCCAAGTTAACGTATGCCTTCATTTAGAATACATAAAGGCAATATCATCATTAAAATTTTCTGCATCACAATTGCAGCTAAATTGTGTAATCTATCATACATTACTGACCCGCTCCTACACTATGTGATGTAATAAAAATTTGACAAAAGAATTCATGCGCGATTACGCAAATCTACAAATTATCTCTATACAACTAATATATAAATTAATTATACTCTTGCAATTCCTTATAAATCGATATAATAATTATAACATAATATAAATATTATGTTAATATATTGATATATTAATATAAATTATAAAATTTCTGCGAAAGAAATTCAAATATCTTTCAAATATATCTAAGGAGCGAATTTTCAATAATTACGTACATCAAATTTAAGAATATAAAAGTATGAGTATAATATAGTTATTTTCCACGAAATTTAATTTATATACATAATTTACACACACACGCGCGCGCGTATTTGTGTAAATTATGTATATAATGTGTGTGTATTTGTGAATATTTTTGACAAAAAGTATTTAATTTTTGAATCTCAAAAATGTTTAAAGATGATCTAATTCTCTGATGTAAACATATGGTTAAATTGTTCATAAATCGATTTGCATAATAAATATTGCGAACTAATTCACGAGAATAATTTCAGAGTAATAAAGCCAGACTTACGTGTTGCATCAGATATTTCAGCAAACAGTGCGACAGAGAGTAATCCAACCACGAAGAGAAGCGTGGTCAGGAAGGACGATCTCGAGCTGCAGCCCATCACGGCATCACTACTGATCACTACCCGATTCGCGCAGTAGTAGTTTACGCCGGATATCACCAACGGCGTGTCTCGAACTCTCGGCGACGCGAGAGACGACTCGTCTCTTCCCAGCTCAACTGAGCTCGAGGATCTCACTGTCAACCTCGCGGCGAAAACGTCCAGCTGTCATCCGCGCGAAAGAGTCTGCTCGAGCACCAGCACCACCACTAATACCGCGGACGTACCGATTCAGCATCGATGATGCATCGCCACATGAGGAGACTGCGGTTCCGCCGCGAGAAAACCGGACATTAACCTTTCGTTCGTGTAGCGCATCTCTTCGTACACCACTTCCTCTTCCTTTTGTAAATCGACACTTCACAGACTAGATCACAAAAATAGACAAAAAAAATGCAATCTGTAATTTACTCGCGAGCCTCGCATCAAGAAATCCAATCGATTTTTAGACGCGATAGCTAATAATCATTCAGAGAAGAAAATTGCAACAACGAAACGCCCCTGAGTTGTAGTGAATCAGTTGATTGACTGATTCACCGATGCATAGTTCGATTGTCGGACTTTAGAAGATCCCGATCGAATTCTCCCGGAGATAATCGATCCGTGAAGGATTCGTTAAACTTGAACACTAAAACGCCATATGCGAGTCAAATCGCGAATCGATAAATTCACGAAGAAAGAGCTCGTTTAGTAACATGTATGTGTTGTTAGATTAGATTTATTTCCGTTACTTTATCTATCTGCCGCTTATATTAACAGAATATATAATACGAAAACATTGTTTATATCGGATATAATGCACGCGATTTTTAAATAAATTATGAATTAAGACTCTAAAAGATTGCACTATTAGCAAGTTGTTAATATTTATTTAACATAATTATAAAAAACGCAATTATATAATTATATATCAACTATATTTATCACGTTGTGATTCTATTATATAATTTATTATATTTATCATGTGAGCTTATTATATGATTAAAATAGCACAAAGGTTCAATTCACTAACAGATTTATTATACATAGATTAGTTGCTTTATTAAAATAAACACTTTTACGATTGTAATGCAAATACGTGAACGAATATCTAAATCCGTGGCAAAATGCACATTTAATACGCTGCAAAATCAATAATATGTTTTCATCAATAACTGATCTGTAATTTTTAACACGATTTCGCCAGGAATTAGTCGAAATAATCGATCGTAATTACGCGAAAATGCCAAATGATTGTGATCTGTCAACTAATGTGCGGCAGTGTCATCGTTTTCGTCCAATATGCAATTATGTAGAAAATCATGTTCCACACAATCGTGAAAATACGGCGAATACGGCGCGAGTCATTTAACGTTTGATTTCCAAACCGCGATGATTTACGTGGCTAATTGAGGTATGTCGGGCCGTCGGCTGCCGAAATCTAGCCTTTGCGAGCGAACGAACAAACGAATAAACGAGCGATTCGAGTACGCGCTATTCGCATTGGACGGGGACATAAATCATCTTCGCATTTCGTGCAAACGGACAGTCTTTTAAATTGATCGTTCCGGTTGATCGGCTCATACTTGTAGATTGATACACTGATACGATGCGCGCACCGCATGCCTCGAATATTAAAAAAACCGACCATAAATTATCTCGTTCCTGATATCCGTGCCGAGTATATGCACGAACTGATATTGGAAAATTCACGTAATTCGAATAATGTAGAATGAATATAGCGAGGTTATTTTTCAAAATAATGAAAAACCATCTCCATCGCGATACGTCCGATTTCAACAAATTTTTTTTATGAAATTACTTGTAATTGATTAATCTTGTAAAAAATTTCTCGTGGACCAACGATTTTCACCCGAATCATCCTATATTTTAAAAAGATACAAATGGTAACGTGTTATTCGTTTCGAAAGCTACATCATTTTTATCTCCGTAAAACCAATGCGCGGATTCGTAACTTACATCGTAATTTTTTAACATGATTTTAAATGCAAAAGATGTGTGCAAATGTTAATATTTGAAACGGAGAAGATGGTTATCGTTAGATAAGTGAGTAGAGTCTCATCAGAGCGGGATGTCCGAAACTTACGGAAGTGGGTCACTACGCGTATTTAAGTGGCAAACTTCGTATCGGTTTATTCCCACCTGCAATCACCGGCCCGAAAACCGGAGTACACACAAAGTCCCTCGTGCATATGCATGGCGCGGTCGCTTTGTTCCGACGACCCTTGAACCGCTCGTCTCTACGCGTGTTGTTCCTGCTCTACGATTGTTCTCGTAGCCGCCGGTGCAAAGGCTCATCGCATTCTCCTTCGCCCTCCGCTCTCTCCCTGCGAGGTCGGGAGTAAAATCACGCGTGCGCTTTCCCCTTTCCTTCCCCTCCAAAAAAGAGAGAGGATAAATATCCAGCCAGAATACATTCGTACAGTTGATATTTATTTTAAGGACAAACTGCACGTCACGAGCAGCGAACTATTCTCTTGCTCATAAATTTCATCGTCAAATCATAGCTACAAACTCGTATGTATTTTTTCGGACAGGAAGAGAGAGCAACCCACATAGCATGCATATTCAAAAGATGTCCAGAAGGTATCGAGAAGACATCTTTGAGCGATTGGACATCTTCAGAATGTCTTGTGAATGCCTTTTGAACAAAGATGCTATGGGAAGATCGAATAGAGAAGGATGATACGCCGTGTATTATAGCGCGATTGATTTCGAATCATCATCCTATCATCGTATATCATCAATCTATCATCGTATGTTTAGAAAGCGCATTCTGAAACGTGCTCATGGAGATAGATCAAAAAAAGAAAAGGAAGCGCGTCATAAAAATCGAAGTGCATCCGTAAGACAGCGAGTGACAATAAAAATAATCGGGAACCGATGAGTCTCGACTCACCCTTCTTCGCGACTGAAAGGCACGTGACGAACTTTCACGATCGGCACGCGAATTTCGACAACCGTTTGGGACACGTGAACGATCTCACATGAAAAAAAATGATTACGATTCTCGCGTTTTTATCGAGAACATCGCACCCTTCCTTTTGAAATGTGACAGGCAATACAGCGTCGAGAATCTTTGAAGATTTGCGGATTCGACAATATATTGTGAATACGAGAATCATTATACGCTACGACGACTGAGCTCTCTCTTCATTATGATTGTCAAACGTCAGCTACGATATTTTTCATGGAAAATGCATGGCGTCATGGGAAAATGCAGAGAGTGGAATTCATGTCGCTCTCTCTTCGATCATCCCGACCCAACCCTCGTAACCCTCGTAACCCTTTCTATGGAGCACACGCGGGGATCTGCTTCAAAATCGTTCACATCATCCCTTCTCACCAGAAAATCAACTAAACGACGTTCCTCAATGACGAGAATCTTTTCGAATCACTTTTAGTAAAATGAGTTTTCCTTCTGTTGCACAGCGAGAAGGAAATCATTCGAAATCATTCGATGCACTCTTGCAGTGCCGAAGTAAATCTCCGGAGTACACCGTGCAGATTCCTTCACAACACTTCGAAACGCGTCTCGCTCATCCGCAGGGGTTACTCGTCGCTGTAAAAACGTAACGCCCAAAACAAACGCACACAGGTAGGAACGAACAGATAGTACAGATGTGTATAATCGCGTGTACAATGCGAGATGCGGAACTCTGACCAGCGAGCTCTGAATGCGCGTTGCGCTCTCTCTCTCGCCTCTCTGGCTCCGCTCTCGAGACTGAGAGTGCGGAGAGAGAGAAGCACCGTCGGACTTTCGAGGGATTCACCGCCACCCCTACCGGCGTGGTAGCCGGATGCCCCTGCCTGCAACCCGCGTGCTCCGCTTCCCCTGTCGCGCCGATCCCACCACCAGTATTGGTGCCGCTCGTTACCCGCGCTCTCCTCGCGTCCATCTTTCTTCCTACCCCCTTCCCCTTCTTCACCCCCTTTTCTCCCACTCGCTCCTAAACCCGTCGTGGAGAGGAGAACGCCACCCTGGACGCTCCTACGCAGCACGTATATCCCGCCACTGTCGATCGAGACCGCGTGAATCACATATCTTAGGAATGCTTATATGATATTATTATTGAAATATTTGATGCATTCTGAAATTACAATATTTAAAAAAGATTAATTATCCCTCTAAATAAAGCGGTATTAAATCGGAAAGATAAATTTTTTCAATGAAAAGACAAAAATAAAGATTAATAGATTCAATAATTTTTGTCTCAAATATCATTGCAATATAAGAAGCTTCGAATTACATTATTATTGATATAATTTTTTTAGTTACCACATTCTGAAATCAATATTGAGTTAAGGGGGCTCCTCAATCTATCTGTTTTATCGACAAAACACTGTAATTTTTGGGCATGTGCCATTTTTTCTTGTCAACATAGAATTAAAAATCCTTCTCTACGCTTGAAGTATAGATACAAATGGACATGGGGAAGCCGATTATATATTGAGAAAGAAAAAAAATATATAAAATTATATATTTATTTATTGACTTCTTAGATCAACATGACGTCTAAAACTATCACCTCATAAAGACATTAGCCTTGTATAAATGTTTTGTAACTTTTATGCATAAAACAATAGCATACTGAATAGCGGACTGCACAATAAAAACTTAAGGAACTGTGAAGATTAAATTTAGTCTAATTAATAAATGGCACATGCCCAAAAATTTCAATCCGTATGTATCTGAAATGTTGGTAAAGTAGAAAAAGCAGTGTATCTTCTTTATAAATAATGTGATAGAGAGAGATATGGGATGAGGATTAGATGAAGGCGCTGTAATCGTGTAAGAGTTCGCTGTTCAGTGAGAAACCCCTCAGAAGTCCCCTTAAGTGCAAGTATAATGTACGTTTGCTCATTATATTGCCATAAGCAATCAATTCATTGGCGATTCGAGATTGATCTTCATGATTTGATGATTTTATCAAGAATACCTATCCCCTAACAAACATGAGTAGCAGAAAGTTGACAATATATACATATACATATACATATATATATATATATATATATATATATATATATATATATGTATACACACACACATACACACACACACAATATAGTCACTCGACTCTGATAATTGCTCATCTCAGGATACTTTTCATGTATAATTAAACATATAGTGCATTTAAGGCAAAATAATAATGCGCGGAAACAATAAACGCGTATCAAATACTTAGACAAAAAAAACACCAAAATAATGTAACAATAAATGCGAATAGAATATGCTAAAATTCGCGATTTTTTACAATTAATTTTTTACAATTATTATTAATTCGCCTATTAATTATAAAAAATCGCGAATTTTATATTTTATATTTATTATATTTTATATTTTATATTTTTTATATACCAGTATAATTTATATATATATATATATATATATATATATATATATATAAATTATACTGGTATATAAAAAAATAAAAATTTTCTCTTTTCTTTATAAAATTTACCAATTCTTTCTAAAAATAAGAGAAAAAATATGATATTATAATATTTTTATAGAATTTTAAGTTACGGGATATAATATTCAATTTTTTAACAAAGTAAAATACTTAATTTAGTCAATTTTGTGAAAAATTTAATATATATTATTATATTTATACGATGTTTCCCGATACATTTCAATTTCGATTTTAAAATATCTTTACCGGTCTCTAGGATATATTATAATGGGATAAGAACAGGCAAGTCGTCTCTCTCTCTCTCTCTCTCTCTCTCTATATATATATATATATATATATATATATATATATATATGAAATTATTTGTATATATGAAACTATTTGTACTAATTGTATAATTGTTGGGATATTTAGATTGTTCTACTTTTTTCGACATTTCATGTTAAACAGAGAAAATACCATGCAAAAATAATAAATACTTTCATGAACTATAGGCTTTTATTATCATAGGAATCGCGAAAACCATTGATCATACATTACTTTTCAATCAATCATAAACATCTATTAAGGGAATAATTACACATTTCTAATATGAAAAAGCCATTTTACCATACATATAATAAAAACATATAATAAAAATTGTCGACACATTTATGCAATATCTTGAAAATGAAATGTAAAATAAAGCAAAAAGATTGAAAAATAACAGTAATCTCACAAAAAACTAAGTTTGTGCTGATTCAACAAATAAAATAAATGTTAACAATTGGCACTCTCGGTGTCCCCAAATATTCATTTTTCGTAATTTCACGTAAATATTCATTTTTCAGCATTTAACAAAATTATAATTTTGTCAGGATTGACGATTCACACAATATATGTGACAAAAACGTATGTATACTGACACATGTATGTCTCTACTTCTTCTTCTTCTATGTATTTAATTGGTCCATGTTCAAAAAAACGTCAAATTGTCTAATTTATCTAATTTGATTGCCCATCAACAAGTAAAAATAAATACAAAGAATGAGTATAAAAAAAATAAAAGATAGATCTTCAGAAGCCTTTGTTAAAAAAAGAATAAAATTTAAAAATAGAACAATTCAAATAAAGGATATGCATGTAATCCCTCTTATTGTATCCACAGACGACAACACTTTATACTATTTTTGTTATTATTTTGTGACAAAATTTCTTTGTATTCTGTTGCTTATGTATAATATATGTATAATATATTACAATAAGAGCAATACTATTGAATGCATTCAATAATTTAAATGAAATGATTGCTTAGATATTGTTAGAGACTTGACTTTTTGCAGTATTTCGATTTGAATCTTAGTATTTTAATCATAACGAAATTAAACGAAACTATATTCGTGGCGAACGCTTTATCAGTATTTTGAATGCTCACAAGAGGACGACACCGATCAAGCATACATGAAAGACGGGATGTGTAAGGTGTCCCATATGGTTATATCTTACTTTATTTGTCAAATTTATAATCTCCCTTTACTATTTTAAGTTATACTTATTACGATGTACTATTTGATTTGAATTGAGTTATACCATAAATTTGCAATTTATGTTACTGTTTGTTAAAAATAAACTATATTTCATTTCTTTTATCTTTAATTTAACTCTATTCGTAATAACTCTATTTATCATTTTAATTCTAAATTATATTTAACCAGGATTAATTATAAGGAAGATTGTAATTTTCTTTCAATCTTAATTTAAATTTTAAAATCATTTTATTTAAGTGTTATGTTTTTGTTTTCGTTTATATGAATTTTAATTTTAATTCTGTTTTTAATTTTATTTTCAGAAGCATTATTGCTTATATTGCTTATATATATATATGCTTTCATATATATATATATATTAAAAACTAGAATGTATTGTGTTATTAAGAATTAATAATTCAAATATGTAAATAAGATATTTTTAATTACACAGTTCGCTATTAATATGTTTATACATAATTTTAGTTTAGTATTATATAAAGAAAAAAAAGAAAGTTTAATTAATATATAAATTACTTTACGGAAAAAAATATATATTCGAATCACAGAGCACAAAATCTTTTGCTATATATTCCAATGATATCATATGCATATTCTTTCATTTTCTAAAAAATTTCTAATGTCTATGTCAAAATAAAAATTAGTTCAAATAATAATAATCAAAAAATTAATTAAAATTTAGCAAGGAATCAACTGCTGTAAAGAAAACATATAATTATTTCGGAGAAAAAATATGTAATTATTAATTGCAAATTACATAATTTTTTCTTCGAAACAATTATATATTGCAATAATTCGCGATATATT